GTCCGAATAAAAAAAAAAAAAACAAAATAAAAAAAAAATAAAAAAAAACAATTTTTTTGCAAAATTCAATTTTTGGAATTTTCCCACTTTCCGACATTTTCTTGAGAAAAGTATAGGTTTTTTTTTGTTTATTTTTAAACCTTCCTAAATCCCCAACGAGCAACCTCTTAAAGTTTCATCAAAGTTGGTCCAGCCGTTCTCGAGCCTTAGCGCCACTAACAAACAAACATTAATTTTTATAGATCAAGACAAGTAAATTATAATGCAATTTAATATCATGAAGCTTTCAAGCATCAACTCTATTATTATGCTTTATTGATTGCAGAAATGGAACAAAATAGGATTGGCTTCAAAAGTTACAATAATTTGACTACACAAAATGGAGTAAAAGTTAAAAAAGTCAAATTCTGCCGCCTGAGGGGCATTTTAAATAATTTCAATTACATATATACAGCATTTGCCAACATTTTGTTACTAAAATGAAAAATGAATAATATTTTTAAAAAATGTATTAAATTAAATTTATTTTAAAAGTTTTTTTTTGGCACGTGTTGCCTCATAATTACAATAATTTATACATAAATACAATGGATGCCCGTAGAGATGCTGATAGAAATAATTAATTAGGCTACAAATACGCACGCACATACAATTATCATATCAAATTGCTAAAGTCGAACAATACAAATAGTTACAACCACAAATGGCTGTAACTATTAAGTTGATAATCTGGCGAGACCGCAAAAAATCAAATGGCGAGTAAATAGAAGTAATTACTTACATATATTTTTTTTATGGGAAAAAACATTTTAAAATAACAATAACAACAGAAATAAACAATATTTGCTAAACATTAAGTCAACACTAATTCTGTACTAATTCTGTAGGCAAATTATAAACTCCATCCACTTTTGGGTTAAACAGTATGTCTCAGAAACCACTGGATAGCTGAATAGAACACGATAAAAGTGGTTACTAATAACTGTCATGGGCTGCAATGCACAAGAATTGAATTGCTTGACTCATGATCCAATCTTCAATGAGAACTATGGTCCCACCAATAATGGTCTAGAAACAAACCGACCTATCATATGCCAGTGGTAGCATTCTCTGTTGTATTATAATGGTTTTCGCATCTTTAAAATTATTTAGTAATAGTTTTAACGACTTTGATATTCGCTGTAGTTATTTTAACGATATTCGCTCTCGCTTGATCAGCTGTTGTCGTAAACTATTCGATAAATCGATAACTAAGCTTAAGGGGTTACATACACATAAGTATTGAAACTTCACGAAATTAATTTTTTTGATAATTTTTTGTATAAAAGTACAAAGTGTCAGGAATATTTTTTCCTAGAGAATTTCATAACCCGCCGTCTATGTCATGACTTGATCGAGGATAAAACTTCAAACGGGTTTTTCTTAAAACCACTTTATAAAAATCGGCAGTCAAAATTTCTCAACGATTATTGCAGTGATCGAGTTCAAATTTTCCACACTTCTTTTAAGCATGTTTTTGTAGTCCCTGAATCAAGGATTTATTTTATCATTGATTTCAACTCATTTTACAAGTCAATATGTGGCGAAAAAGTATGCAAAAAATTCGGTTTTTGTAAAAGACGCTAAAAAAAATTCAATTTTTAATTTTTTTTCAATTTTCTTCATTCAGGGACAAGGAAAATTTACCTACTTTAAGAAAAAATTTGAATTTTTGATTTCAGATAAAAATTGAAAAAGTTATCATGACTTCGGGGTAGTTTCTTGTGGACGGTCTACTTCACGACACTGCCAAGCTTTAACTTGTACTATTTTTCATTTAAATTTTCATCAAATGTTGTCCACATGTTGTACTTTTATATGTAAATAAAATTAATTGTATACTTTATTTAGTATCTTGTAAAAAAATTAGAGAAAAAAAATTTTTTTTTGGCCTTCAAGACCTATGTAACCCGCTATCGCCACTAATGGCCTTTGATTATTTGGCATACTTTTTATCCCAAGATGAGGAGGTATCGTAACCTTGGATAGAAGTTTGCTTCGTAAAGCGAAAAATCCTTTACACTTGAACGCAACTGAGTTTCGAAATCATCATAGATTAACACCAGATATATTGTAGTTTAAGAAATCGTTTCTAAAATTGATAGCCAACTAAAAGTCAAGAGAATAAAAATAAAAATAAAACTTCTGTTGAGAAACAAGTAATAATATTAATAATAATATTTTAACTTTCAAGAATTTTTTTAAGTTTTAACGCTTCTAAAATTCTTCAAGTTTCGACTCTTCACAAGTGGATGCTATCAACGTCCTTTTGGAGAGCAACTTGGAAAATCTATGAGTCAATCAATGTTCGGTGTTTTTTTACGAAGGTTAGATTTCCAACAATTTTTTTTGCTTCAACAAAGTCACAATTTTTTGGAAGCCCTATTGGGGCTATCGACTGTACACCAGAAATCAATTAAAAGCCTCTGTCAACCAACGTGGATACCCATCTAACATTATGGATTTTTTTAAATTGATCTACATATATCTCAAGATTTTAGCAGTAAACGTAAAGTACTCAGGAGCGTGGCACGATTTTGTTGATGGTTTGGCGATGATTTTGATTTGGTAATCTTCATAATCCATTGAAACTCATTTAATAAGAATAATTGCTTCCACGAATTTGTTTGGTTTGGTCACTCCTCCTTGTGCTTTTTGCATATTTTGACGTTCTGATAATTTGTGGTGTTACCTTTCCAATACCAGTGTTGATTACCGTTAAAAATGCGCTAGCGCATCGCTCAACCGTTAGTGTAAGCGACGAAATTCACAAGCTGGTGATAAAAGTTACTAAATTCCACCAGATACCATTTATTTTTGACCGATATTAAGAGAGTTTATCGATAAAACTTGAACTTGCTTAATGCTTATGGTGGTTATAGAGAATTTAATATAAAAATCAGTCGTGTATAAAATGTTCGGTTCCGCCCGAAACTAGTAATTTTGAATATCTTTTTGTATCTTTCACGCTCATGAAATGGTGTACTATTTTTGGACCGAAGTATGTAATTACCAGAAGGAGATTTACAATTTATACCGATCGGCTCAGAATGTCGAACGAAGTTGATTTAACGAAGTTGTCCGCATGTTTGTAAGCAAGGTGTTTCAAACAAACTTTGGTACACAGATGCATTGATCGGACCACTTAGCGCGTGAAATTTGATATAGTCATACATTAGTACCGAAAGCTACCGAAATCGGAGGAATATAACATTTGGTATTTAGTCTTAATTAAAATTTTTTCATGAAATTAAGTACTATTTTTGGTTTTATGGAACTGTCTCAGACCACATATTTTTAGGGAAATATTTAAAAAATGACAACAAGAATCATTTTATATCTTTGTTAATTCGAAACGTAAGACTTTTGAGCTTCCATCATATATGAAAATGAATGATGAAGTCTCTAACGATTTTTACTGAATCGCTGACTGGTCGCAGACTTTTTCGAATCTAATTATGCGCCGAACATAAATTCAACCCCGCAGCCATCCATTTGCCCTTACTTGTTTATCACCATCTTAATGCCCTTAAGTGCTCATTCACATGTGGTCCGGATAATATCCCTACTAGTGTACTTAAATTTTGTGCTGAATCTCTTTATATACCATAAGAGCAAAATTATTCCCTTGTTTGTGAAAAGAGTCATACTTTTGACCTCTATATAAATCTGGTAGTAAATCTTCAATAGGGAATTACAGGGAGATAGCAAAGTTATGTTCTATTCCCAAAATTTTCGAAGCTATTATAACTGATCAACTAGTCCATTCTGTGTCATCAACTACTGACATGGGTTTTGTGAAGGCAAATCTAACGAACCTGCTAGAATTCACCTTCTGTATTTAGAGGCCAAATATTGGGACACGCTGAGGGCGGTGTGGCACGGCGCGTTGTCGTGATGGAGGATCCAGTTACGAACGATGTTTGGGTGCACCCTGTTGACTCTTTTTCGCAATCTTTCGAGTACTTGACGGTAGTAAACTCGATTTACGGTTTTCCCTGGTGGAAGAAATTTTTCGTGGACGACTCCACGGCACCTCGACTGGTCTCCCGCTCCGCGCCTCTTCTTCATTTTTTGCATTGAAACGCCTGGGCGCGACTAAGAGCACTATAACCATGAACTTTTACAATTTTAGCGTACGTTTCCGAAGCTGTTTCGCCCGATTTGGCGAAAAATTTTATTGCGATGCTTTGCTCTTGATTTCATTTTTCCATTTTCTTGACGAGCACCACGAACACACGTTTACTTAATACGACACAGCAGGCGAACTAAACAAGCTAGAGCGATGGAGAGGAGAAGGATGCCGGGAGAAGGGAATGGGAACTTCAAGGTCGCAAGGTTACCATAATCGCGGCAATATAATCAGTCTCATTACTTTATTGTCACACCTCGTATCAACACCAACTACGGAAACATCGATTTTGGCTAGTCATCATCTTTAGTGTCGACAACACAAACCGTCCTGAGGGTGTTGCTGAAGCACTCACTCCTTCATAATTTTTGTTCCGTTTTACGGACTACAAAGAACTTATTGAACAATATTTTTAATTGTATTTATACAATCGTATATCGAAATGAAAGTCTTGTAATATGTATGTATATATATATATGTATGTAAGTGGGTTGTTGTATGAAATTGCCAATTTTGATTTTAAAACATTTCATATCACACCCTAATAAATATAAATATATGTATTTCTGGCAACGGAGCTTCCCATTTCACTGATAATAAAACGGTTTTGCACATCTGGGATTCCACGGGGATTTTCTCATACAAAACTGCCCACACGAAGATAACAAATTGTTTGTTTCTATTGTACATCGCGCCCAAAGCTTACACTTTTGTTTATACAAATAAAAAAAAAGCCAAACAGCAGACTCGTGAGAGAGAGAGCTTTTTACCAATTTATGCATTTTTTATTTAAGATCTCAAACACTTGAAAGATCAGCAGACTGAGCACAGCTAGCGCATGGGAAGCCAACCAGTTTTTGTTTGGGTGCTTAGTAGAGAATTGGCACTCGCCGGGTACACACACAAGTTGCGGAAAGAAACTAAATTGAAAAGTAAATAAGTAACTTGAAGAAAAACCTTTGAGGCGCAAACGCGTCATTTGTGTTCATGGACTGCGCTTTCAATCGCCGCGTGTGCCTTTGTGTTATGTGAAGATCATTAAAATAACAAAAAATTATAAAATTATAATCAGCATACATAAGTGTTTGTGAAATAAAACCAGCTTCATCTAAAGAATTAGCGATGAGATCTGGTTTATGAAATTTGCATTATTTGGGATAAGTGGAAATGTTGAAAAAGTGATTAAAGTTTAGAAGCGAAATATTCGATCATTAAAAAGCAATCGAACCACCGCACACAGTTTTCAAATTCATCAGTGCCGCAATTACCTCATACTTACGCCAGTACTTACATACGCGTTTATTACGTTAAGCCAACATGATTTTCACCAACATTTATTTGGTCGCGCTGTTGGCCCTGCAACTATTGCATCAGTGCGTCTGGTGTCAACAACTGCCACCGCAGAAATTTCAAACGCATCCAACGCGCACAAATGCCACAAGCGGCTGGAATAATCGGGTGGGTGTAACTAATAGAAAATATAAGTAATTATTTAAATTTAATTTTTTATTATTTATTGTACAAGAAAAATAAAAAAAGTTTTAAATTTGCTTCGAAAATACATCAAAGTAGTTGCAACAAGATGGAATTCACGTTTGGCATATATGTATGTACCATATGTGTATTATATATAAATGGTGCCGTGTCACCATTGTAGCGATTTTTGGCCTCCTCAAAAGTAGTTTTCAGGGAATGTTGTGGGAATGACTGTCTTTGACCGGATAAAAATCTAGATCTTTCCGATATAGAGACCCAACTGTCGCGAGACAGTCACGCATTTCCGTGTGTATTTCAAGTACGAAATAAAGGCCCCTCATAAAAAACCATCAGCCGTTCGGAGTCAGCTTAGTGTACTACAGTGGGCAAAAAGTAAGGTGAATTTGTTTGTTAAATAAATAAACATTTATTCTTCTACATCGATTTCGTCGCCTTCAAAATAGTCCCCTGCCGATGCAATGCACTTATGTCAACGCTTTTTCCAATTATCGAAGCATGTCACATAGTCACGTCCTGGTATGGCCTTCAGAGAGCGGGCCGATTCACATTTAATCTCGGCAATCGACTCAAAATGGTGGCTTCGAAGTGGTCTCTTGAGTTTTTGGAAGAGCCAGAAGTCACATGGTGCTAAGTCCGGCAAATACGATGGTTGGGGAACGATATTCGTGGAATTTTTAGGGAAGAATGGGTGCAGTGTGCAAAGAATTGTTGGTCCATAATTCTGGTGTTTTTTTGCGAATTGCTTCACGCAAACGACACATAACACTTAAATAATATTCTTTATTTACCTTTTGACCGGGCCTCACACTACAAAAATCAAAAAAAGTAGTCAACATGTCCTTAATTTTTGTCGTTGATCGTCGTCCCGAGCGCTCCAAGTCTTTGAAGTATTTGTATCACTTATACACGTTCTTCTGCGATATAGGTCAGCCCCCAAAGGCTTTCTGTAGCATCCTCAACGTTTCAGCAGCCGAAAACTCGTCTCGCAAACAAACTTTAATCGCAGTTCTTTGCTCAATCAAATCAGACATTAAAAAATTCGCCGAAGGCAGCTTTAGTCGTTTAGTAAACACAAGCGAAACTAAAATACAAATGATGAAATTAAAGTGAAATTTGGGGTAGATGTCAATAACAGTGCTACCAACATTAAAAGAATTAACCCGAAATATTTAACGCGCGAAACTCAAATTAAAAATTCATCTTACTTTTTGCCCACAGTAGTAAACTGTGGATGCGCCCAAATTACATCAAGAAGCGAAACCACAATTTGGAAGAGGAGCTCGGCCGAAAATCGCTTCAGCGGCAATTGTACATTTATGCAGGATACTATGAACGCAGCATCCACTTCGGCATATGTAAAGATATGCTTTGCTTGCGCTTTTAAGTTCTACCCTTCTATTGTATTTAGTTGACAAAAACTTCCTGAAACTCGAGCACAGCACAATGTAGACAGATACTGTGGAGGGTCTGCTGCACTGCGGCCTTAGGTTACTGTGCTCGTAGGTCCTGATTTGAAGCACATGGGTTCGGGACAGCTAGGGAAACTACCACAGAAAAGTACTCGCTTAACATACGCAACCAAGATACAATCCAATATCCGTTGATGATGAAGGGCTGCTGCTGTCCTAATCACTTGCTCCTCTATATTAAGCCTCGACTATAAGTTGTTCTCCAATACTATTTCCAAATAGGCAGTACCCAGTGCTTAGGCCATTTATTACGTTATCATGTAAAACCCAGCAATTTCAACCTCTCAGAATGTATTTCCGAGATGAAATAAATAGCCGTTCGAAGGATACTTAAAGACACTTCTTGTCTCTTCAACTGTTGAAGTTCGGCACAAAATACCCAATACATTTTAAATTATCTAATTCGCTGTACAGTCTACTTCCAAATGAAATTACTCACGTTTTAAAAATAACAAGCAAAGCAAAATTAATTTTTGATGGGACAAGGAAATAATCTGAAAAAAATTAAATTCAATCAGTTTCATTTCGTAATATACATATTGGGTTGTCTCCAAAGAAAAAGGCGATTTTTCATATAGACGGCGTTGACAATTTTTTTGAACAGTTTGAGACTATTTAATTGAATTTTTTCTCTTGACAGTTTCAAGCTGTTACTTTTAGCTTACTTTAGACGCGAGATTTTGTTTAGATTTGTGTTTTTCGGCGTCCATTTTAATGTGGAGTCCACAAAAGGTAATTTTCGTCATATTTTAGTTTATTATTTCCTCAAAGGAAAAAAAGCTGGGGAGGTTGCTAAAAGTTCCAAAATTTGTATGGTGATGAGGCCTTAAAATAAATACAGTGTCGAAGTAGGTTTGCCAAATTCCGTTCGGGAGATTTTTCGCTCAAAGATAAGCCATCTTCAGGACGAACAAGTGAAGTTGATGATGACAATATCAAGGCTTTAGTCGAATCGGATCGTCATGTAACTGACCGTGAGAGCGTTCATAATCATATACGACGTCTTGTACTGGTAAAAATCACATGAATTGAAAGAAATTCATTGAACAAGCCGCTTCAACGTTTGTGATACCCATCAAAAACGCAATGAATACGAAGCAAATTAGACTTGAGATGAAAAATGGATTATTTACAATAACGTTAATTGAAAGCGATCATGGCCCGAGCATGATGAAGCACCAAAAATCACTTCAAAGACTGATATCCACCAAAAGAAGGTTATGCTGTCTGTTTGGTGTGATTGGAAGGGTGTCGTATATTTTGAGCTGCTTCCAAGGAACCAAACGATTAATTCGGATGTTTACTGTCAACAATTGGACAAATTGAATACAGCCATCAAGGAGAAGCGGCCAGAATCGCTCAATTGAAATGATGCTATATTCCACCCGAACAATGTTAAACCGCACACATCTTTGGTCACTCGCCAAAAACTGAGAGCGCTTGGCTGGACACTGTTGATGCATCTACCATATAGGCACTAAATGGTAAAACTTTCGAAAATGATGAGGCTATAAAATCGCATTTCGTTCAGTGTTTTTGCAGTTAAAGGTCAGAAGTTCTCTGAGCGTAGAATAATAATGTTGCGGGAGAGATAGTTAAAGATCATCCAGCAAAATGGAGATTACATAATTGATTAAAGTTCATTATAAAATTAAAAAAATATATATTTACTTAAAAAAAATCGCCCGTTTCTTCAGAGGCAACCCAATATTATGAAAAGATTATTTTTGTGCTTTTTTTTAATTTTGTTGTTTTGTAGCACTGAAGTGAGCGTCAAAAAATTTCTAATTCAAATCAAAAGTATTATTGTTTCTGTAAACTTTTTATTCTGGTTGGAAGCAGTATTAAAGAATATCCTTGAAAAATAAGAAAAAAGAGGTCTACATTTTTGAAAGGGAATGGGAAGTTGCGATAAAAAAAATCTGTTAGATAGACAATTTTTTACCAACAAGGGAAAAACACGTTTGCAGTCATCTTGCAGCGCCGCGCTTACTGCTACGAGACGCTTACGTATAGATGATATAACTTCATTAAATTTATAAATTCGTTCTAAAATTTTTACTGTGTATTCTTAATAAAAAATGTGATTTTCTAAACCAAGTTACCAGACTACTACCATAAAGATGTTCATGGAAACCCGTATTACAGTTTGTACTATATTATAAGAGCCAGAGTAGTTAAACACAGTTTCAGAAGTTTTTATAAAAAAAAAATTGTTTACTTTTGTTTATCAACATACAAACATATTTATATACGTTCCCTGGAATCAATCCGATAGATTTTTTCGGTGATTCAGGTATGTTTTAAAAAATTATTTAACAAATTTTCAAAATCAGTGTGATCTAGATTTATCAACAATACCTTAAGAAGTTATATCCACTTCAAAACAAAAAAAATGCTTTTCTTAGTCATTTTTTTAAGACATTTTATTTTATAAATTAATAGATGTTAAAAGACAGCAGAATATAATGTGAATCCAAATTTGGTATTATTATGGATGAATACAGGTAATTACTGAAGAAATAGTGAAAATTTTGATTTCTTACAAAATGGCGATTCCAAAAAAAATCAATTTTTGTGAACAATTTTGCACTGCAAAGTGGCTTAAAAAATCGAAATTATTGTCAAAAATTCAATTCCTTCGATTATTATCTAACGCATGTGTCTTACAAGGTCGTGCGAAGATTTTAAGCCGATCGGCTTAGCCGTTTCAGATTTAACCTCTTGCGAGCCATTTACACGCTAAATTATACGATCTTATCACCAAGACTATTTGTCGTATCAACTTTTCAAATATTAGTGTATTCGAAATTCGAAAAATCCAAAAAAATGCATATTTTTTAAAAATTGCAATTGGATATAAGCGCTTCTCAAATTTTTACACGATCTTCTATGAAAATATTCCACAAGTTTTTAACGAGAGTTAGATTTGTTAGAAAAATCTTTTACTACTTTTGCTAGCAATTTCGGTGTGAATATTTCAATGGTAAAGATTTTTTTTCTAAAAATCAAAATTTGTATTATACATGCATACCTATGGCTAAGTAGATAGGTGAGAATAAATAATTTAATAAAAAAATGCGAATTAATCCTTTTGGCCTTAGGCGACGCTCGAATTAGGCATACACGTATTATCAAGCAATATTCCTTACTTTTGGACTGAATTCAAAATTAAACAAAAAAAAACTGTTCACACTAAGCGTGAAAGGAGTTCAATTTTAATGAGTTGAAATTTTCTTAGTTTATTAAAACTACGATTATTGATAATGACTTCCTTTTATACTAAAAAATACTTCGATACTAATTTCTTTGGTAGTAATTTTCAGCAAAAGAATTTTTACAATTATTAAAAAAATAATATTAGAAACTACCGATGACAATCCAAAAAAGAAAATCGTCAAAATGTGAATTAAAACAAAAAAAAAATATTTATTTCATATACCAGTAAACAAACCAAGCCCAGGGCCTTCAGCTCACTAAAAACTTACCACA